ATCGCCTAGTCAGTACTGCGGTGGGGGACCACGCGGGAATCCTGGGTGCTGCAGTTTCTTTTTTGCTTCCTGCATGTAGCTGCGTCGACGATCTCTGTGTGTGTGATGCTGAGATGTCACTCTCTTCGGTAGGAATGGCTGTGGACGGTATGCTGCTGGCTCACGGCGAAAAGCCCGGCTATCTGAGAAGAAAAAAGTGGACGCGGGTCAATCGAAAAAAAGGATTGCCGGATGTCTTGTGATCATGCACGGACGTACTTCCTCTCCCATCGCAACGAGCTGCATCTGCGAGGCGTGAGAGCGATACGAGACGGGGTCATACCCATACCGTCACCATCAAGAACCTTGCCTGTTAGCACGCAGGGCCGAGATTCCGACAGCAACCCTTTCGGATCGCTTCCGACGTCTTCCAGTGCCTCGCCATCGAGCGTGTGAGCAGCTCACACGCTCTCTTCTCGGACCAAGCCGTTGGGCACCCATCTAAGCAACATCGCATCACATCCGAAACATCCAGTCAGCTATGGGTCAATCCTCAAGCACGTTCGTCGAGCACGCCTCTGCGAGCGTCGACATCCCCTCTCACGGCACGCTTGTCGGTCGAGTCGCAAAAGACAACGTCACAGGCGAACTCAAATCCCAACGCTTTGCGGGTATTCCTTACGCACAACCACCCGTCGGACCCCTACGATGGCGTCGACCCCAACCGCTCCCCCCTTCTCACCGCTACGATGACAAGCAATACGATCGATTCGCATGTGCATGCCCGCAACCCACCAACTACGCGCTTACTAATGGCATCACCCTCCCCTCCTCCCCTGTTCCGCAAAGTGAGGACTGCCTGTACCTCAACATCTGGTGTCCCGTCACGGCGACTGGGGAGCGAATGACCGGAAAGCTGCCCGTGTTGTTCTTCATCCATGGCGGGTGGTTGCAGATTGGCAACGCGCATCTCTCGCCCGATGGTGATCCATCGGACCTGCTCCACGTCGCCGGGTTGCAAGCGATCGTCGTGACCACTGCCTATCGGCTCAACGCATTCGGATTTCTCGCCCACGACGCACTCCGCTACGAAGACCCCGACGGTCTGACCGGCAACTACGGCTTCTTGGACCAGCGCGCCGCGCTCGAATGGGTCCACGCCAACATCGCTCACTTCGGCGGCGATCCCGAAAACATCACCGTCAGCGGCCTTTCCGCAGGAGCACACAGCACCCACTCGCAGCTCATGCACGAACTCGACCTCTCCACCCGCCATCCAGGGTACAAACCCATCATCAGACGCGTTTTCTTGCAGAGCAATGCCGCAGTGTGGCCATCCAAAAGCGTCGAAGAGACGCAAGGACAGCTGGACGAGCTGTGCACCCAACTCGACGTGCCATTGTCCCTCACCGACGCGGACAAGATCGATAGGCTGCGCAAGGTGGATGCGCTGGAGCTGGCGAAGGTGCTGGCGAGGATGGAGATGCACACGTTCCGAGCGACACGGGATATGCAAGAGGGCGCGTTCGTTAGACCGGACTGGACGAAGGCCATGATGGACGGTCGACTGGCGAAGTACTGCCAGGAGCACGGTGTGAGCTTTGTGATCGGCGAATGCGACGATGAAGCTTGGGTGTATCGGTACATCAACACGCCCACCGATCACAAGGGGCTGGTGAGGCAGCTGAACAACTATTATACCCTGCCGCTGGTGGAGAAGATGCTCCCGCACTATGGTGTACCGGCAACATCGCGGAGGGTAGAGGGGAGGGTGGACGCTGCAAAAGATGACTCGCTGTACGCAGTGCTTGGGGTCAAGCCGTCATCGACCACCGCAGAGATCCGTGCGGCCTACCTAGCCCAGGTCCGCCTCCACCACCCAGACAAGTTGCAGCAGCTCGGCGACCCAACCGCCATCGCGGACTCCCCTGCCTCATCCGACCGCATCAGGCAGCTCAATCACGCGTACAAGGTCCTCACCGACCACCAGGCGCGGTCGAACTACGACGATTTGCTTGCCGCCCAACGAGCTGCCTCGAACTCGATTCAGCCGCGCATATCGGCGGTCATAGACTTCGAATCCTTCACACCGACGGAGAGCTCTCCATTGACGTTCAGCTACGTCTGTCGATGCGGCTCGTCGTACACCCTGTCCGAAGATCAGGTGCAGGACCGTGTCGACGTGGTACCCTGCGATGGATGTTCCGAGAACATCCGTGTTCGATACGATGACGGCGAGACCTCACGTTCGAATGGAGAAGGCATGACACCCGAGGAAGTGGGCGACGTGTTCGGGCGGATATGCGCCGACTCGCAGGTGTACATTGCCGAACGGATGCTCATTACCGATCTACTCAATGGCGGACTGCCGTCGGACCGCATCTTGAGGTACAGGATCAACTACCGCGCGCGAGCGATAGATGCAGCGCTGAAGGGATATGGAGGCGTGAGCCACAGCTTTGACGACTTTGTCTGGTGGTTCTCGTGCTTACAAAGCGGGGAGGAGCAGGAGCGGGTGAAGGCATGGCTGGGGCCATGGATGGCGTGGATAAGGGGCGAAGAGGTCGGCAAGGAGTGGTATGAGGGGAAGAAGGCGGATGGGAGGTTGCTCAGGGTCTTGGGCAAGGATGGTCAGATCAGTGTCGAGAGGGACGAAAGATGGGAGGAGAAGGAGGAGTTGATCGAGGCGATGGTGAGGGTGCGGAGGGAGATGGTCGACGAGTATTTGTAGGGCTCAGCTGGCAAGGTCATTCAGCCTCAAACTCACGCAAGATGATCACGCGGTCACGGATGAAGACACTTTCGCATTGCCTTCTCGGAGCATGCTACTCGTGTGACGATGCGGTGCGAATCCCACTGTACTCACCTGCATGCTGATCTCTTGAGCGTGAATGTGACCGCAAAAACAAGGCTGGTCAGTACACAAAATCAGAGCGAGGACCTACCACAATCTCAGGACGACAGACGCCTGAATCTTTCGAATGAGCTCGCTTTTCGCATCGAAACGGCTCCCTGACCCGGCGAATCAGATGTTACTTGCGGCATAACGTCTATGGATCTGTTGACGCCCTAGAATCGCTCCGATGTCCCCTTGTGCACACACTTCTGACCTTGACGGAACGAACAAACTTGAGGTTGAGGCGATCTCTTGATACATTTGATATTGAGCGTTTTGCGGGCCAACTTGGGGCACAGTCATGACTTGAAGAGCCTTGAAGCACATAGAATAGCGGTCACCAATGTGTGGCGCGAGTACAAGCTTGAGAGGGCCGGAACAACATTTGAGGAACTTGATCTGAAAGCGGGACACGTTGTTTGGGTCTTATGGTAAAGCATTGAGCGGTCTTGGAGGTCGTCGCTTGTCATCGGTTCGATGCAGCTAGTATCGGATGCGGTCAACATCGTCACGAGGCGGGCTGTCGAGGTGACTTCCGAGGCGTGTCCTAGGGGGCGGCACCCGCTCCTCCCTGTCGCCATCGTACCTGTCGCGGCCGTCGCCACGACGAGGGCTCGGCGAGCGAGAGTACCTCCTCCTGTCGGGGCTGGGCGACCTCCTGGGCCTCCTCGGAGGCGAAGGTCGTCGTCTCCAGTCGTCGCGCGAGTCGGCGGGGTTGCGTCGGTACGAGTCACCTCCGCCACCGCGGTACGACGATCCGCCGGCACGATCGAAGGCGCGGCCGTTGTACCTCTCGCCGCGACCTCCACCGCCGCCACCGGGTCCACGGCCAGGAGGCGGTCGAGCGCGGTCATCAGGTCGCACCTCACCCTTGTAGATACCGGGCGTAGGGTCGTGCGGCCTGTGGGTGGTGGAGAAGTCAACACGGATGCGGCGGCCGTGCAGGTCCTTGCCGTTGAGCGCATCGATGGCAGCCTGGGCACCTTCGACATCGCGCATGGTGACGAAGCCGAAACCACGCGATCGACCCGAGCGCGCATCGTAGACGACGACGACCTTGTCGACGGGCGCGATGGCGTTGAACTCGTAGTCGAGGTCCTTCTCGACGGTGCGGATGGAGAGGCCAAACACGCCGAGGACGGTGGTGGGCTCTACGTTAACGGGGGCCCCGCGCGGCTTGGGTGGAGGAGTGCGGCGGCGACCCTCGCCGCGTGGAGGCGGTGGGGAGCGAGAGCGAACACGGTCGCGTCGGTCATCGCGGTCGTAGCGGCGGCCAGCGGGGGAACGCGATCGACGACGAGGAGGCGAGCGGCTGCGGCTGTTACCGCGGATGGGGGAGCGGTCTCGTCGTCCAGGAACGGGGGTGGTGGAGGGCGAGCGCGAGTAGGATCGGCCGCGCGGAGGAGGCGACTGCGGCCTGCGGTCTTCGTCCATATCCTGAAGGTGGAAATCGGCACGGCGTTCGGCGAAGAAGTCCGTGGTTCGATCGTCGTACCAGCCGGCCATAGTTGCGAGAAGTGGACGGTGGCAGCCAAGGTCGACGAGAGCGTGACAAAAGCAGTCGTATCAATGGAAGAGGAGAACGAAAGGAACAAAGTGCAGCTTGCGTCAGCAAAAGACCCAAGAAAGGACAAATGAAAGCAGAATCGAAGACCAACACTTTGCCGTCATGTTGATCGAGACTGCGTGGCTGCGCTTGGTGGGGTGAGAGCGTCCCACCCTTGCGTAAGAGGCAAACATACCATAGTTGCAAAGACGTATCCTTATTCTTCCGAGAAAAAGGGAAAGTGGGCCACAAAAAGAAAGCGTGCAGGTGAAAGTGGGTGGTTGTGCGATGACAAGATGGTGGGATCAGACGTGCAGGAGGATGCAGCCTGGAAACTTTCTTTGTCGGTTGCACGGACTTGGCCTCATCGCTCATTCCGCGTCGCTTTTTTTCGACCAAAGATGTGTGATCGCGCTTGCGTCGAGCGTGAGTTTTCGAGAGATGGATTCGGGTGTCGGATTGTAGAGTTGAACGCGGATCACAGATTGAAACATCCCGATACATTTCTCCGTTTTCCTTGTTAGACTTGCCACTTGCCAGCCACTGCCAGTCATGTGACTGGCTCGGCCGAGCTTTTGTTAAGTGAAGGCCGGCGAGATACACTGATGAGCCGCCTCGCATCCAGCGACACAGCAGCAGAGCGACTATCTCGGAACTCGTTGACGAGAATTCAGACTTCAGCTTCAGCAAAGTTCACAGCAAGGGCTGTGGCTGGCCTTCGAGAATTCTGGCCAAAGTCGCAGTTGAGTCTCGAGCCCAGCTGCTGCTCTGTGAGTTGAGTGTCTCGAAAGCTGCTCGTCGCTATCATCGTCTTTGTCTCCGTCACCATCTCCACCCCTCAAGACATACATCAAAATGGTAAGTTGTGCCACCAACGCATACACGGGCACACAGACACGCAACGATAGCGGCATCCAACGACCATGGCATCAAAAGTGGACTTTCAGCAGGATCAAATATTCGCATCAGCATCCCGTCACACGCAGTCTCAAGGATCCAGCATCACCATATATAACGACATATGTGCAACCTCACAATCTAAGCTGCACACATGGAGGCCGCCATACATGCACACGGGAGTATGATCAATCGTAGATGCAGACCACTACGGACAGCTTGGCTCAATCAAGAAAAACGCAGGATGATGGTTTAGGCACAACTTTACAGAAGCGGAGCTTTCTGTCTTGGAGGACACGACGGACAAAGACATTCTGCGTGGTCGCTCCGACGTTGTGGACTGCACATAGAGTGATGGACATGCCAGTTTGATCCAGGTGGAGTCTCAGGTCGGCCCAGCAGACAGGCAAAGGACCGCATCGCACTACAGCCTCGGCCACTTCCAGCAATCACACACCGACATCCTCCAACATACATCAGCACGCTGCGACATCATCGCCGCCGTTACCCTTTCGTCTCCGACTGCAGCAAACAGTCGACGTCGTTCACCATCGCCATCGTCGCTGCATTCATCTTGTGCCCGCCATTGCGTCGACTCGGTCCGCAGATAAGCAGTCATGCTGACCCTCACAACCTACGACTCTTGCCATCACCTCACTTTCATTGTTCTCAGGGTATTGATATCGCCAAGAAGCACGTCAAGAACGGTCAGCGTACCGCCCCCAAGAGCCAGGACCCTTACCTGCTGCTCCTGGTCAAGGTAAGTTTCCATTGCACAGTACTCCTCAGCATTGTCAGAGAAGGTACCGCGCTTGCAGGATCAGAAACACCGATTGGAGCAGATAGAAGATAGGCGCAGACACGAAGATGGCAGGCACACGGATGGTTGAAGCAGGGGACTCTGCAGGACTCTCGCAGGCGTGATCAGACGCATAGCCTCTCGCACGGCAACCGTGCGGACAGGGCGTGTAGGATCGAGACGTCACAGATGGATCGTCGACGACTATAAGCAAGCGCATTGCCTTCTCTGTTGCACCTGCACCCATCGACACACAACGGCATGCTGACGTTCGCATTCCTTCCACCACTTGTCAACTTCGACACACACAGCTCTACCGCTTCCTCGCCCGCCGCACTGACAGCCGATTCAACAAGGCCGTCCTTCGCCGCCTGTATATGTCCAAGGTCAACCAGCCCCCCGTCTCGGTCTCGCGCGTCATCTACCTGACCAAGTCGCAGGGTGGTGTTGCCGCTTCGGCCTCCGAGACCCCCAAGACCGTGGTTGTTGTTGGTGCCATCACCGACGACAACCGAGTCCTCGAGCTCCCCAAGCTCTCGGTTGCTGCTTTGCGATTCACCAACACTGCCCGCGCCCGCATCGAGGCTGCTGGCGGTGAGTGCCTCACCCTGGACCAGCTCGCCACCCGCGCCCCCACCGGTAGCAACACCGTCCTCATCCGTGGCCCCAAGAACGCCCGCGAGTCGGTCAAGCACTTCGGCTTCGGCCCGCACAAGAACAAGAAGCCCTACATCCGATCCAAGGGCCGCAAGTTCGAGAAGGCCCGTGGTCGTCGTGCTTCGCGCGGCTTCAAGGTGTAAATCGCCCCTTGTTGTCTCGTTTTGTCACTTTCTTCGCCGTTTCTTTCACACTTGGCTTTCGGCGAGTTCATCTTGGCTACCAATGATGGGGCCGAGAAGTTCTCGTTGAAGAGTCGATCACCCGAAACCAAAACAACCGTCGATTGGGGAAGTCGCTTATCGTTCCTACTCGACGGTTTCACACATAGCACACACATCACACATACACCCGCATCAATGCAGAATCTGTACTTTTTCCGATTATTCCTAGTCTGTGTGTCGTCGACGTGGCCAGCTGCTCTACGCGATCAAACGCTCACCGCACTCGCTGATCGTGTTGAGAACTCGTCCATTCGACTAGAGACACGAGATGTCGGTCCTGAGATGAGACAGGAAGGCTCCATCACACGGTGGCACGGTGTCTAGCTTGCGTTGCTAATCTGATTGATGCAGAGTGTAAAAGTACAATTGAACGCAGGGCTGGGACTTTGTGTGGATGCTGAAACACCTTCATGCGCCGATGTACTCCTCTCTCAACTGCCGCTTCTTGGCTTTGAGGATCATCTTTTCGAGCGCTGCGCGGTCGGGCACTGCTGGATGCTGCAGGTCTTCTGCGGTGAAGATCGAGTATCCCATGCTCGGTGCTGGTGCTGATTCTGGGACGATCGGCTGTCCCTGTTCGCCCTTGAGTCGTTTCGATGCGCCTTCCTCCTCGGCGTCCTCTTGTGGGCGCTTGCCTGTAGCGTCTGCCGGCTCTGGTTCGGTGTACGCGGTGTTGAAGGACTGAGCGAAGGCCGCCATGCTCTCCTTCCACGGCTTTGGCGTTGGTCTTGGGATGCTCGGCACCTCGATCTCCCCGAGGCTCGTCTCTTCTTCGCTTACGTCCATCTCTTCCCCTCTCGCCAAGTCAGTCTTGAGCCCCTGAACGACCGACAAGAACCTCTCCTTCCACTCCGCCTCCTCTGCCCGCCCTTCCTCCTCCAACAACACCCCATCATCCTCATCCTCATCCCCGTAGTAGCTGGGCGGTAACCCTTTGAACCGTTGATACCTCTCCTCCCTCGCCCCCTCCCCGTCCTCCTTCCCACTTGCCGTAAACAACTCCTTCACTCCCGGTAGATCCTTTGCTCTCCCAAAATACTTATAACCGCCTCTCCCCACGCCTGCGTCAGCGCCCATGCTCGGCACAGCCCGTTTGTAATTCGCCCCACCCAGGGCGAGGATCTGGTTCTCCCAATGCGCCTTTTCGCGCAACAGCTTGTTGATCTCGTCATTCAGATCGCGAACCTCGTAGTCGGTGAGACCAAAGTCTTGTATCTTGCTGACCTTGCGGGAGATTTCGCGCAACACATCCCCGCGCCATCGCTCGCACTCTTTCAGCGAGGACACGGAGGATGCAAGGCGTGGTCGTCGGGTAGGTTTTGGGGTGAGACCGAGAGAAGAGGCTTGCGCTTCTCGAAACCGGTACAGCATCGACTGCGCTTTCTCTTGATTCCGCGCCATCGTCGTCAAGCTCGCGAAGTGGTGTCTGGATAAGGTGAGATGAAGGCAGAAGCAACAATCGTCTGGTCCGATGGCAAGAGTGGGCCCAGAATGTGCACAGCAACGGGAGGCTTTCGTGGGTGGAAAGGGTTCTGGAGAGAATCGAAAAATGCCCGTCTCCCGAACAAGTCGCGCCCCTCACCCGCAAACTCGCCCTCCGCCTGCTGCTCGTACACCAAATTCGTCATGAACGCTTCACTGGCATGCTCTGTATCGTTGCGAACATCGCTCAGTGGAAGGGGGAAGATTCAGTCAGTTCTCATCGTCCTTCACCGTGCTTGCGTGCTCTCATCGACAGTCCGCATTGTAGTCGTTTCGCACATCATCTCGATCAGAGGCTGCAAGGCAAGGCCGGATTCGAGTGTGTCGAGTGCGGTCGTGTCCGTGCGGTGGTAATTGAAGGGGGGTTGGTGTCGAATGATTGGTATCGTTGAGGCCGTTGAGCCAAGGGTGCAGATTACATTACATTACAGAGGCGCCGACGCGTGTCGCGGCGCAATTACAAGAAGCGATCGTGTCTCTCTCTCTCACAGCTACACTCCAGATGACCTCCCAAACCCGGATGGAGCAAGCGACTTACGTGTAGGCTTCAACAACTGACTCCTCTTGGCCATCTGCACATCGTGTTCGAACGCCACCACAATGGCCTGGTCCGAGCCGTAGGCGTGCTCGTCGCTGATGACCTCGCCACCGTAGCGCTTAAGCACGTACGAGCCGAGCTTGTTCTTGAGCACGTCCTTGAACGACCAGCTGACGACGTAGGCGCCCGTGCTCGTGACGATCGACGTCTCGGAATCCGTGCCCGTGTTGAAGCGGGCTGCGGAGAAGGAGATGGGCGCACCCATGTAGGCGACGTGCGAGGGAAGTAGGGTGAGACGCTTCGGCTGCGGCTTGGAGTCGGCCGGGAAGGGTCGGTCGAAGCCGAGCTGACCTTCGTATCGACCTTGGCCGATGAGCGTGTCGATGAGGAGAAGGTACGTCTTGCAGGTCGCGATGATGTAACGACCGTCGGAGGAAACGTCGATGCCAATGATGGGGTCGCCCAGCGCAGGAAGCGCCGTCTTAGCATTCTTGCCAATCGAATCGAAGAGTCGGATGTCTCCCTTGTTCGATGCCACTGCGAGTCGACCCTTCTTGTCCGTAGCTGCTACCGAGAAGTCGTTCTTGGATGCATACTGCTTGAACTCTGAATCGACAAGCTTGTTGCCGGAGAGTCGAGGGTCGATGCGGTAGATGCCGTTGTGACTGTGTCCGATCATAGTCTTTTCGGCGGTCATCTGAGCGTACTTGCTGTTGGCCACCACATTATTGATCTGAACATCGTCGTGGATCTTCCACTCGTCGACGATCTTGCCGTACTCGAGATCCATGTTGTAGATGGCGTTCTTGTTGCCAGGGTCCATCAAGACCATCTGCGCGTCCTGGTTGTGCAGCATCATCTTCAATGGTCGGAAGCCTTTGCCGCTTGGTGTGCCAACGTTGTTGATGGTGGTATCGTGCTCGAGCTTGTTGTCCTCGGTGTGACGGAAGACGCCGATCTTGTCACCGCGCGCAACGAAGGATCGATCGAACTTGTAGCCAACGGAGAGCAACGAGTTGACGTCGCTCGGGCCTGCCAAGAGCGAGGAGGACTCCTCTGGCCAAGCCGATTCTTCCGATTTGGACCCCAATTCTGCTGCCACTTCGTCCTCCTCGTCTTCCTCCTCCTCCTCTCTGGCTGTGCGGACCGACATGTCATCTCCCTCGCTCTCGCTCATCTCGTCGACGTCCATGGGCTCACCCTGCTCGTAAGCCGTTTCTGCGTAGGCGCGTTCGTCGCTCTTCGCTTTTGCCCATGGCTCCTCGTTCTGCGTCTCGTAGATAACCTTGGAGTAGCCCTTCTGGAAGTTGGAGTACTGCTCCTCCTCGTGGAAGCGTAGGAGCCACGAGAAGCATTGTCGGTCGTCGGTAAAGTAGTTCCAGACCGCTGAGGTCTGTTCTCCTGAGAAGTTCATGTTCATGTCCGTCTCTACCTTTTGTGCGAGCCAGACCTTGCCGGCGCCGCGGATGGAAAGCCAGAAAAGGAAACGACCAGCTTCTAGGATCTTGACATCGACTTTGCGCTCCTGCGTCAGGAAGTACTGAGACTTGAGGTCGTACAGATAGAGATCGGCAGTGATGGAAACGACGGCCTTGCTGTCGTCAATCTGCGGACCTGCTGTGTCGGCCTCAGGTGCAACTGTTGCGGGTGGACCTGGCACAGCCTTGTCACCTCTTCCAGACTTGTCAGCAGCTGCACTTCCTGCGCCAGCTGCAGGGGTGGAAGAAGAAGTAGACTGAGAGCCGATGCCGGCGTTCTCGAGCTTCTTGTCGAGCTCGCTGCGCTGCTCTCGCTTCAACTGCTGGTCCGCCTCGTCCTTATATCGCAGGCGATCGAGGTCCTCCTCGGTGGCGCGTTCGTGGCTGGTGCGGAACGCGTGCTCATAGACGCACTGCAGGTAGGTGATCTCGAAGATGGTAATGGTGACCTCGTTGACCTGCTTGCTGTCAATGACGAACTCGAGCAGATCGTCCTCATCGCCGTCGAAGTCTCTCCATACGATGGTGCGCTCCTTGCCGCGGGTTGAGAGGCGGAAGCCGAGCGCTTCGTCGATGAGAAAAGCGCGCTCGTCCTCGAGGTCGTCCTCATCCTGGTCCACCAGTTCGGGCTGGGAGTCCTGGAAAGCCTTGGTGACGACGAGCTGATAGTGGTATGGTGTGGTGGTCCTGCGGACAGCCAGCACGGCGTCCTCATAGATGCATTCGCGAGAGCCTTGGGGTCCGCTGGGTCGGACCAAATAGAGAGCACCTGCAGGGATCTGGATGAGCTCCTGGTTGTTGGTGTCGCTCCAGATCTTGCCGAAGAGGCTCTTGAGCATGAACATGATTGGCGTCCTCGTGCTGGTGTTCTCTAGCTGAACCTGAAGGCGGATGCAAGCGTTGTAGCACTGAAGCTAAGGCGATGTAAAGGAATGACTGAGGTGGCGACCGAGGAGTTGGTAGTAGTGCGGGAAGGTCGATGCTCTGCTTTCCGCACCTCAAAAGTGTGCAGCTGCGAGTCGAGTTGATCCGCAAAAAGACAAAGAGAGCTTGGACCCTCGCTGATCCTTTTTTGTGAGCTTTGTGGAGCGTGAGACGCAAGATGCGGCGCATGAGCAGTGTCTTTTTTGCAATGACGTGCAGCAGCAACACACTCACTCGACCGCTCGCACCGACTCAGCCAAAAACCTTGCCACCGTATGTTCAGTCTAACATGCTTATGAAAATCGCGAACACAGGCGGAATTCGGGCTAGGCTGAGCCTTGACGGCTCTAACATCCTTCAACCCAAAATTGCCTCCCCTTTGAGGCGAGCAGCGAGAAGAAAAAACTTGCTTGACAAGGGCAATCTTCTCAACCCAGGCGCGCTCAGCCAGAGAGGCAGACAGGCACGCAGCTTCAATTCAGGAAGATCCAGAGCGCGGCAAGACAGACTCCGTTGTGAGCGTGTAGAATGCACGACACTGGCCTTCGACAGTTGCCAGCTCTCTCCATCATCTACACTTTGGAAGCTGCTCTCTCGAACGAAGGACAGCTGTATCCATAACAGAGCAGATCATCATCATGGCGAGCTTTAAGCTTCCTCAGCTTCAGCCGGACAACGACCTCTGGGGTCCCGCTTCCGGCTCCAACGCTCTCCCCTCCGAGCTCAAGGACATCCCCTTCGCTCCCTACGCCAAGAACGACAAGGTCGGCCGCATTGCCGACTGGAACAACGCTTCCGGCGCTTCTAACGATGCCGCCAACGCCCGTGGCGGTCGACAGGGCCGTGCGCGCGATGTGCAGCAGAACTTCGGTACCTCTGCTGCTTCTTCCGCCTTCGCCTACTTCCACGGTGATGACGAGGCCTCTTTCTCGGTGGTCGACAACACCCGCACTGCCGCCTCTCGACGTGGCGGACTTGGTCAGATGAGCCAGCGTGGCGGTCGCGGTGGTCGTGGCGGTGCCGGTGCTGCCGGCGGTCGTGGCGCATCCAAGTTCGGTGCTGGTGCAGGACGCGGTGCTCGTGGTGGTCGGGGTGGAGCCCGTGGTGGTCGTGGCGGCGGACGTTTCGGCTGGAAGGAGTGGGACAAGCCCCAGCGCATCCGCGAGGCCTCCGTCACCGTGGGTCAGGATTGGGAGCAGGTGGAAGAGATCGACTTTGTCCGTCTCGGCAAGCTCCGTCTCGAAGTCGAGGAACCCCAAGACATTTCGTCGTACGGTGCGCTCTTCGAATACGACCGCTCCTACGATCGTGTCACCGTCAAGACCGCCCAGGCTCTGTCCTCGATCGATCGCATCCGTTACAATCCCACCACCTCGGACGACCCCATCATCCAGGAGATCTCGTCCAAGCAGGACGCCAAGATCTACATGACCGATTCCATCCTCGCGCTGCTCATGTGCGCTACGCGCTCGGTGTACTCGTGGGACATCATCATCACCAAGACGGCCGACGGCAAGGTGTTCTTCGACAAGCGCGATGGTGGACCGTTCGACTACCTGACGGTGAACGAGAATGCGGCTGACCCGCCTCTCGAGGCGCCCGAAGGCAAGGAGAACGAGGCGGCCGCTAAGGCCAATGCGCTCAACACACCCTCGGCGCTCAGCCTCGAGGCTACCTACGTCAACCAGAACTTTGGCTTCCAGATCGTCAACGAGAAGAACGTGTACAAGCTCGAGCACGAGAACCCGTTCTACTCTGCCGACGAGACGGATCCGCTGGCCTCGTGCGCTTACCGATACCGCAAGTTCAACCTTTCTTCGGAGGAGAGCGACCCTGTGGAGCTGGTGGTGCGTGCCGAGGTGGACGCGTACACCATTGGCTCCTCGAAGGAGAAGCAGCTCATCACGATCAAGTCGCTGAACGAGTTCGATGCGCGTGCGCAGGGAGCGGGTGGTGCTCAGGATTGGCGCTCCAAGCTCGACTCGCAGCGTGGTGCCGTCGTGGCGACCGAGATGAAGAACAACTCGTTCAAGCTCGCCCGCTTCGCGGTCCAATCCCTCCTCGCCGGCGCAGACAGCATGAAGCTCGGCTACATCTCGCGTGCCAACCCCAAAGACGCTTCGCGTCACACGATTCTGGGCACCTCGTGGCTCAAACCCCGCGAGTTGGCCGGTCAGATGGCCGTCAACCTCAGCAACGGTTGGGGTATCGTCAGGACCATCGCGGATCTCGCGAGGAAGGCCGACGAGGGCAAGTACGTGCTCCTCAAGGATCCTAACAAGCAGACCATCAGGATGTACCGCGTCCCCGCCAACTTCGGCGAGGAAGGCGAGGACGGCGCCGAGGAGGATGAGGCCATGGACCAGGATGCTTAGGCTCTTCTCGCCATACGAGGCATTGTTGTATCCTTTCTGCTCAAAAATGTCACTTGATGTTGTGGTTCAAGTCGACGATCTTTTTGCTTGTGAAGAGGTTGAGGAGAAGATGAGAGCTTGCGTGAGTCGGAACATGAATAAAGATTGCCGCGTGAATGCGAATGATGCTGATGCTGAAAAGGAAAAGAATGCTGCTGGCCGGGGGAAGAGACGGTGCTGTGCGCTGCGATAATGGAGCGAGAAGGTTGAAGCTGAGGACGGTAATGCTGTTGGTGCCGACGGAGCTAGTGCGCAGCGTCGACGTGCGTTTTCGCAGTCTCACCATGCTCTGACGCCTCGCCCTGCACACCACGCCGGCTTTGCAGCTGCACCACCTCCTCGCTGCCTATGTACTGATTCTCATCCGCGTCCTCCAATTCGTCCTCCTCGTACGTCTTGTTCAGTGCCACATCCTGCTGCACATACACACCCACTCCCTGTTCTTCTCCAGTCTGATAATAGTCCGCAAAATCCTGCTGATCCTGCAGATATTCGTCCTGAATCTCCTCGTCCTGCATCGCCTCCTCCTCCTCCACTCGCAAGAACGGATGTTGCAGCAGCTCCGCAGCCGTCTTCCTTCGCGTACAATCCACATGCAGGCACGACTTGACCATGTCCAGCGCGTCCGCCACATCCTGCGCGTGCTGCTCTGGGTACGGATGACTCCCTGCGTTCCTCAATTCCGGATTTAACCGAAAGATGAAGTCCGTCAGCGAACCCGAATTGCTCACCGTCGGGATGTTGCAGTGGAACGTGCGGTTGTGCAGCATAGCACACGTCTCCATGCGTGACTTGCCAAAGATCACCGCAATCTCGAGGAGCGCTTCCACGTCGTCGTTCGAGTTGAACACGGGAAATCGACGGATGAGGAGAGTGAGCAGGATCACGCCCGCAGACCAGATGTCGATCGCGACGGTTTGGTCTTGACATTTGAAGAGCACTTCGGGTGCACGGAAGCCGCGAGTGCCAGCACGATTGGCTCGGACGCCTTGTCGGGCGTCGTAGATGTTGTAGCCGACTCGCTCGGGTGGGGGGTCCATCAGGCCGGCTTTGGTCGAGGTGCTGAGGGCGTCTGCGTTGGATGCGGAGCCAGACGCTGTTCCAGCTGATGCTGATCCAGAAACGGCGATTGCGGTGATGTCCGAAGGTGCCGGCGGACCGGAGAGCGGTTTGCCGGGCTCAAACCAGATCGAGTCGACCGCTCGATTGATCTCCTTGGTGCCATGTGGGTGTTCCGGCGTCGGACACGTGTGGTGACACTTGCCTCGCCATTCCGTCGGCTCAAAGCGTTCGGCTAGACCAAAGTCACACAGCGTGCCATGTCCCGTGGAAGGATCATACAGGAAGTTGGCGGGCTTGATGTCGCGATGCATGATGCCTGCATCGTGTACGCTCTGCAGGGCCGAAAACAGACATCGGAAGTAGTACTTGAAGTCGCCGAGCGGCATCTCCTTGTAGTAGTCGCGAAAGTCGCGATGGCGACTGTACGGCATGACGGCGACAATCTGATCGTCGGAGCGAAAGGCAGTGATGAGGTAGGAGACGTACTCTGCCGAGCGCAGGTCCTCCATGATGGAGAGCTCGTTGAAGATGCGCTGTGGGCTAGAGGTGACGTAGATCTTCTTGAGAGCCACATGGCAGACGCCTTTGCGGAGTGGATCGAGAGGACCACGCGCGACCCACTCGTCGTTGACATATATGCTGTGCTGCAGATCGACGGCTTTGTAGACGGAAGAGAAGGTGCCTTCGCCCAGTCGGTCGACAATCTGGTAGTGTTCGCCGAGGCCTTCGATTGCGCTCTCCATCTCATGGATTTCTTCTTGCAGCTTGAGGAACTCGGCATGCCGCGCATCCTCGCTGGACGTGTTGACGGGCGGATCGGTGGTTTCCTCTGTTGCATCGTCTCCATCGTCTGTCGTTTCAGCTGCTTGGTCGATTCCATCGTCTTCTTCAGGTAGCGGCTGAGCAGCAGGCTCCTTCAATCCTTCCTGTTGCTGTGCGTACTGATGAGTATGATGTGCCAGCGACTGGTCGTTGTATGCGCCTTGCATCGGTGCGAGGAGTGCGGGCTGGGGCTGAAGTGATGTTCGCATCATCTCTGCGCTTGTAGAGGCGTGCTGAGTTGGATCAACGTTACCCTTTGGTGTTGTATGCGCCGATTGTGGTTGTTCAGGATGCTGTTGGACACTGACTGAGGCACCTGTCTGATTGTGTGTGGCGGCTATTGATCCGGAGAGCTGCCGTGGGCTTTGCGGCAATGTGGCCGATCTTGTTGGGAGATCTTCGGCAACGTGAGACCTTTGTTGCTCTTGTGAACGCCAGGGAGGGTCTGGGTTACCTTGAAGAAGGTCTGTCATGGCGGAGACGAAGCTGTGTCCATGGGCCTGGGAAGGGTGAATGCTAGGTCTGTCGCAAGAAGGTGCTGAGCTGGGGACCCAGAAGCCGGGCAGTTGGGCTGAACAGAGCCACGACGCCTCACTGATGGCAAGGTCGGGCGATTAAATGCGGTCGGCAGCCAACAAGGGACTATATGCTGTTTCCTCCGGAGCTCAATTCTGCTGACAGCGCTGCAGCATCGCCGAGGCGTGTTGAGATGCGATTACGCGGAAACGATGGCCAGGGATGCTGAGGGTATGCACCTTATCCGGTCTGCACTGAGCCGAAGAACGAGCGGCTGGGTGAAGAGGCTTGCTGTCGAGTCGCGTGACTTGCTGCTGCCCGAATCTGCGTGCGAAGTTGTGGGGATCAGCGAGCGATGCGGAAGAAAGGGCGGATGAGCAGCGCTATGGAGTGCCGCGAGACCGGGAGGCGCGCCTGCTAAGAGCGGGATGCTGAGTGTGTTGGTGTGATGGCGTTGAGAAGGTCGGAAGCACCTTTCGCGTATATCACATTCTGTTGAGCGCAAGAGAACAACACTTTGCACGCGTCTTGAGCGAAACTTTAGCAGAAGCAACACCGACGCATCTCAACTTTCTTCGCGAAAAACTCCACATGTCGCCTAAGGGCTGCATCTCCATCTCGCTCGTCTGTTACCACCACCACCACGACCTTACTCGACGCTTCGGGCTCATTCAGATACGAGCTTGGAGCTGACACCATCAGCATGGCTGAAAGGCCTTCGTCGCCAGGCGATGACGTGAGTCTCCATCTCTAGCTCAGAATGTAGGCTGCTCAACTTTGCTGACCTCTCCAGCCTCCTGCTCCCTTCATGCTACAGGCTACTCCTTTCTTGCTCAGGGTCTACGTAAAGTCAGCTCCCTTCCGACCCTTGAGTGACTTTCATCAGGACATACGTCCCGCTCGCGACGAGTTCAAGTTGTATGTTTGGAAGACAAACACACTCCGAGAGATCGCACAGATGCTCTACGATGCGGACCCGTCCATCTCGTCACCTCTGGCGCTGCATGCCTTCCGGCACGTCTTCTGGAACGACCGACGACGCGAGTACAATGCTGAGCCCGTTGGCGCTGGCATCACCCGTGTATCGCTCGACAGTGTCTCAGCCCTCCTATCTGATATCGACGCAAGCGATCACAGCGGCATGGACGTGGACGCGGCCGACCAGCAGCAAGACCCGAAAGCTATCGGGGAACCCACATCGAAGGTGCTTGGCTGGGACATGCTGCGAGAGGAGATGGACGACAAAGCAGCTGGCATGACCGTGGCCGAGATTGATCTTGCGGATGACGACGTGCTCGACTGCGTCATCAAGCCGGACCCAACGCTAGCGCTGGCACCAAAGACGACCAAGTCAATAGGCCGTGAGCGGTCATCAGATCGCTTCGGTCGCTCGCGGCGTTGACGACAGCATCTCGTTCTCGTTCGTTGTATTCTAATTCATGATCAAGGTCTCACAGTCACAATATACCCGACGTAGTTCTAGCGATCACACAAAGTGGCTGGATATTGTGGGGGTTGGCGGCCAGGAACGGCCAATTTTGGATTGAACGAGAGTCGACGTGAGCTCGACGAGAGACTAAGTGGTGCAAACAACGGCAACGAAAGGAAGGAGGAGTCTGTCAGTCCGATTGTTCCATGAAGAGAGTGACCGCGTGAAGAGGACCGCACGTCCGAGACCCTTCCTCCGTTCCGACCGATGACAATGCTCTGGCTCGATGTCAGACAAGTATAATGATTCCGGATAGGGGGTTTTCTTCTCTGTACCCAACCGCAAATGGAAAGGCACCATCCGTTGAGGGAGTCCTGTATTTCATCTTTGTATGAGCAACTGAGCAGCAACCTCGCATCTTCCATCGTCACCCTCCTAATCTTTGCCTGGCCTTGCTGGTGCCTGCACAACCTGAATCTTGCAATGGCGTCTGCCTTCCTTTCTTTGGCTCGTCTGCTGTGCGGTCCTAGTCGGAGTGAGCGCCAATACTAACCTTCAGCCTAGACTGCGCGGATCGGTGTCAAAGAAGATAGAACCGACAGCAATTTAACGGCTCTTGAAGTACTCGAGGAGAACGTTGAGACCCTCGGACTCCTCACCGTAGTCCTTGACGACGACGCAGGAGCAGCCGACGACCTTACGGGGGTTGCCCTCGCGGTCGATCTTGCAGAGACCGGCCCAGGTACCAAGGGTCTTGGGGTCGGACACCTTGAGCAGGTCGATCTTGTGCTCGTTGCAGAGAGCCTCGATGAGCTTGAGGTACTCGGGCTCGTTGCAGGTCTCGACGAGAACGCAAAGGTGGGCCTGACGACGGTCGAGGGCCTTGGCGCACTCGCGGAGACCACGAGCGAGACCGTCGTGGATGAGAGCCTTCTTGAGAACCTCCTGGAGAGCGTCCTCGATGGACATGGCGCCCTTGGCGGCGGGTGCCTCGGCAACCTCGACCTCCTCAACCTGCTGGGGGACCTCCTCGACGTCAGACATTTTGGTGGATGAAAAAAGGGTTGGCTTCTTCGAAAGGGATCGCTAGAAAGAAGTGTCGGCGATTCCTACTCAGCACGAAGGGTGAAGAATGGGAATACGGAGATGTAAAGATGGGTAGATGGTGGACAGGAGAAGCTGTTGCAACGATGGATCTTCAGACGACGATGAGGGCCAAGCTCAAAATCTGTCGAGACGCTCAGCCCGCAGACATCGGGCCAGCCTTCTACGTGCTTGCAGCGAAATGCCTTCCGGAGCAATGAGAGTCCTCCCGATCCTGTTCCCAGCCCGAGTCGACATTCATTTTGACTTGATGCGCTACCTGTTGGAATTCGGTTTCTTCTGAGTCCACATTTTGAGTGGTTCGGAAGGTCAGCACGTGACCTCCGAGGAGAAACTGTAGAAAGTGCTTAACGGGAAAGAAAAGCACAAATGGTTGCATTTCGAACTTTTCTAATTCGATGAAGAAATACAATCGCGGAGGGCAGTCGAGCAGTGTCCTTGCGACAAGCTCTCACGAGTTTGCAGCTCGAGACTAGCTCTGCAACCTCGAAATTGCAGAAGGAAATTCTAGGCTTGCGTGCCAGTCAACGCAGTTCAGCCAGGCGAGAGAGAGCTTCTCAGAGACCTCGAATTCTACGAGGGCGAGCGAGTGTGCGTCTGGGCTGGCAGCGCTCAGCTTCGCTACCAGTTCGCAGTTTCGCAGTTCGAGTGTACTCGCCAGCTTGCTCGTCGTCAAGGTCGTTGTCACTACCATCGTGTTCCCTTCAAGACCATTATCATCCACCACCAAATAATCGCCCATCATGTCCAACGTTGAGCTCGGTGTCCAGACCGAAAAGGCTTTCCAGAAGCAGCCCATCTTCCAGAACTCCAAGGCCGCCCGCAAGACCACCCGCGACCGCCGATGGTACAAGGATGTCGGTCTTGGCTTCAAGACCCCCCGTGCCGCCATTGACGGTACCTACATTGGTAAGCATCTCGACATTCCCATCGGCACATCTATCAGCTTTCGAGGCAGTGCAGCCGCCATTCAGACGACAGCAGCAGCAGCAACAGAAGCAACCCAGACAGCATCGACAGGACTCAGCATTGTGACAGACAGGATCAAAGGAGCACAGGCCTCAGCATTGAGCAGAATGATACCGTCTCCATATAGAGGCGACAGGGCACCGACAGAAAGATTCGCAAGGAGATCGCAGGATGACATAGGACGCCGTTTAGCAGCAACAATGTGCCAAGCTGGACTCGCAAGGCGGCCCATCAATGCTTCCTGAGACGTTGCGCCCTTTGACGCAGGGCAAGCATGGTACGACGGAAGGACCGGACAGCATCAGACGTCGAAGGAGGACGCTCAAGCTGGGCATGTTCACCATTGGACTTCAATGCGTATCAGCAGTCGTTCTCATCATGGACTGGCGCCGACTTGTGGCAGGAGCCTATCTCGCGTACCAACACGTAGACAGAAGACCGGATGCCGTCACGACACCTTTGCGGACATGCTTTGGAGCGATCTGCGCATCATCCTTGGACAGGATGACGGAGAAGAATGGGTCGCATTCGAATCCTTGCCAGACCGCCTTCAGCCTCATCACCAGCACGTTCACGTTGTCGCCATCGCCGGCTCGCAGCCATGCTGTCGCAACACGACCTGCTCGTTCGAAAGTCCTGCTGTCTCTGCTATCTTTGCTACCGCTGGCATCTTCTGCTGTCGTAGGATCACTGGACTCCCATCACTGCCTCGACAAGCTGATAGATGCGTACGCCTCTCGCAATGTTGCGAGCAAAATCACTGACTCTCTTTGCACCACCCTTCGATCGCATTGTCGCCAATTGCGTTTTGGGCCCCTCTTCATAGACAAGAAGTGCCCCTGGACTGGTCTCGTTTCCATCCGTGGCCGTATCCTGACCGGAAAGGTTGTCTCGACCAAGATGACCCGCACCATTGTCATCCGCCGAGAGTACCTCCACTTCGTCCCCAAGTACTCGCGATACGAGAAGCGCCACAAGAACGTCGCCGCCCACGTCTCGCCCGCTTTCCGTGTCCAGGTTGGCGACACCGTCACCATCGGCCAGTGCCGCCCTCTCTCCAAGACTGTTCGTTTCAACGTCCTCAAGGTCTCCAAGAACAAGTCTGCCGAGAAGGCCGCCAAGCAGTTCGGTCGTTTCTAAGCGTCTCGTCTGAGATTGCGAAGAACAAGATCGTCCTATCATCCATCCCCCAAAAAACATTCGGTCTCGATTCGCAGGAGGGCGAGAGCCTGCTACGAGACCCGTTGTACACCATCCTTCCACATGCATAACCTCCGACCCTCTCTCTCCCAATATCATCATCGAGTATTCTCACGGTCACTCTCTGTGCCCTGTCTGAGGTGACTGACCACACGCATTCTCGGTCAATGCAAAAACATGTCTGCCAGAAGATTCCGTCGATTGATTTGAGTGCTGCACAGCCGCTGCCAATGAAGCCCTGCCTGGACAGTGCGGTGTGATCTGCATGATGGAAGGACTGCTGTGAACATGCATTCGAAGGTGCGAAAGAGACCCTGCTCGAGAAGCGAAAGAGAGGCAGGAGATGTCGAAAATGCTAAGATGTGCGAGTGCAATCACTAACATGATCAAAAAAATCGATCACGAATCCAAGCTGTGCTGGTGCGGCCAACTGACGCGCACGGCCACACAACAGAGCTCACTACGACAGTCTCCAACTTGGAAGGAAGGTTCGACGAGAACACCTACTTATGTTCCACATCCACGTCGATCCCATCCACTCTTGTCCATCCTTACGAACTCACCACGCTTTCGATCTACGCTGCGCATAGCACTCGGACGCATCTCGAGACATCGACGACCCGACTCTGATCCGGCAGACATCGGCTCCTGATACGAGGCCATCCACCCACGATCCCCTCTTCACAATGGCATTCGACTTTGGCGAGTCCAAACCTTCGGATCCCACCGCAGACTTCCTCGCTCGCGAGCGCGAGGCGGCTGGAGTCCTCTCTGGCGATGCCGACCTCTTTGGCTCTTCCAACGCGGCAGGCGCTGGCGCATCTGCCGACGACTTTGAACGATCCGCATCCGCTTTCCCTGCGCTAGACGACGATCTCGCTCCTGCTGCCGCGGCTCCGTCCAGCAACAACGCAGGCGCTTCGTCTGGATTCGGCTTCGACGACTTCGAGGACAGACCCGCTGCCAAGCCCGCGGCCGATGACGAAGTTGGAAAGTTCCAGCAGAACTTCCCTGAGCTGGATGACGGTCCTTCGGCCAACGGTAACGGCGCTTCGTACCACGATGATGCAGTAGGTTCTTTCGCACATGTCGATGCGATCTGCGTCCAGAGATAACCGTGTAACTTACCTTGACGACTCCCTCTTTTGTCACGTTTTTAAGGACGACCTGATGAGCGCACCTTCCGCTCCCGCCCGCGCTGCCCCCACATCCTCCGCGCCCACCGCGCAGCCCACCTACTCGTACTCCTACGAAGAGCCCACGGAGGAGCCCGAAGCTGTGCGTCAATGGCGCGAGACGCAAAAGGATGCCATTGCCAAGCGCGACGCCGAGGGCGAGCGCAAAAAGGCGGAAGCCATCTCGAAAGCCGAGCAGGACATCGACCACTTTTACGCCGAGTACAATGCCAAGAAGGAGAAGAACATTGCGGCCAACAAGGAGAACGAGGCCAAGTTCCAGGAAGAGCGAACGCGCGAGCTTGCCGAAGGCACCACGTGGGATCGCGTCACCAAGCTGGTGGATCTCAAGAATAGCCAGAGCAAGACCATCGCCAGGGCCGGCCCCGGAAGCAGCGACCTGAGCAGGATGAAGGAGGTCTACCTCAAGCTGAGGAGGGAGGGCGAGCGCGCACCTGGTGCCGCTGGGTACTGAGCGCAGCGCTTCAGGGCACGGGGAGACATGCGCTGAACCGTCCTTCTTTGTAGATTACCTCCGGTTCTTGACATTACACAGATCACTTGCTTGTATTGCCTGACAGAAAGGTCCTTGACAAACATTCACTTCAGTCTGAGCTGCACAACCTCGATGCGACTCAATCTCGGCGCTGCTCGCGGACCAAATGCCTCACCACGACACGCAAAGAAAGTTGCAAGCAGTCCTGATTGATACAACCACGTTACCCAAAAGCAGCCATTTTGTAAAAGTACATGCTAAAACCCCCCTTCGTATCGACTACAAGAAGTACTCTGGCGCTGGCCGCTTTGCCGGTACGCCATGTGCCTCCTGCGCCGCCGCATCGAACGTCTCGTACTTCTGATTCAACGCGTCGTCCAGCTTGAGGATGCTCGCCACGTTTCCGCACCTGTAGCAGTAATTCGGTGCCGACCAAACGGTCACAATGGTCTGGTCGAACATCAACTTGTATCCCTCGAGCACCAGCTGATGTGCTCTTGCGATGAGGTCGAGGTCGTTCGTATGTGCGAATTGCTGTACGATGTCGCCACCGAACAGGTACCCTGCTCCCCTCGGACTCATTCCCCACCCCGCAATATCGTCCGGATCGGACCAGAGGAGATCGCACATGGCACCATCGTGCGGCACCTCCTGCTTGCGATCGATGCTTCTGATCTGATCCAACGTCGTGATGCTCGGACTCAACCCGCCGTGGACGCAAAACACCCGACCATCCACCACAGCTCCCAACGCCAGATAGTCAAACACCTCGCAGCAGTACCTCCACACGTTGACGCTGCCGTACTTGCGCACGCACTCGTCGTAGAAGCCGTACACCTGTGTGATCTGCCGCGACTCGTGATTCCCGCGGATCAACGTTATCCGATCCGGATAGCGCACTTTCAACGCGAGAAGGAGAAGAAACGTTTCGACCGAGTAGAAGCCCCGATCGACAAAATCACCCATGAAGAGGTAGCTCGTCTCGGGACAGGGACCACCGTGTTTGAACAGCTCCATGAGGTCGAAGAATTGACCGTGGATGTCACCACAGATGGTGACGGGCGCATCGACGTGTTGGACATTGCCCTCTTCGATAAGAATCTCGCGCGCTTTGAGACAGAGCTCCTTGACTTGCGTCTCGGAGAGCGGCTGACATTTTTGGAGCTGCTCGATTTGAGCGTCGAGGTCGCTACCCATGGTGGGCTATGGAAGGGGGATGGACGGAGAGGGGCTGAAATGGGCCGCCTCGCTGTCCCGCTGCTGCTTGGTGGAGGCAGTCGACCGCCCGCTCGCTGAAAAATCAAGACGCTAAGATGCTGTGAAGAGCGTGATTAGGAGCGCGGCGATGTCCGTGACAGTGCAGAAGGCTGCCTGCGTGCGCGAAAAGGCGGACTGGATGCAGACGATGAAGCTCAGTCGCTTATATCGTCACTTAGCGCGTGACTGGAATGTGGGCTGCGGCGGTATGTACAGACAGTCTATGCGTGACCCCGCTGAAAGAGGCGTGTCGGAAACGATTCGATGCTGAGTCGCGGAAGAAGTCCCGATGCTGCGCGCTGGTTGCTGAGGACGAGGCGGAAAGACGTGTCGGGTCGATCCGATGGTATGCGGATGGAGTGCGGGTGAGCTGCAACGATACTGCTGCTGATGCGAAGACAATGCAGGCTACTTGTACGCTTGTGGATGATGAAGATGGCGGCTGCAAACGCTGCCTTTTGGGTACGCCGACGAAGAGATGGTAGTGGTCGTTCGACCAGGTTGCGATCGACGTCGGTGTAGATACGCATCAGCTGCACGTCGAGTAGATTGCGGGCTGCGAGGCGTGTCTGGAGAATCACGAATTTTGAGAATTTTTATCGAATTCTGGACTCCACAACTTCAGTCAGAAGGACGGCGCTGTGGCGCTTCGGATCAAATTGGCTGGCTTCGTGACTGGACCCTGAGCGAAAGCTTGATTCGCTCACACGCCATGCGGACCGGCAAGGTGAGAGAAAGGAGAAAGGCGGGGATGCCGAAGCTGAAGGCCCTCATAGCTCGGATCGTCGCCAGGTTCTCCATTGATCAACACCCCATGACTAATGATCAGGACATGCACATAGAGAGCGCCGCTTGAGATGGACACGGTCACACGCTGATCCGTCGTGCTGTCCAGGCTGATCCGATGGTAAAGCGCGAGGCTTCGTGATGCCTTCGCCTACCTGCAGCGGCTCCTCCGAACAAGGTGTCCACACGCCTGCAGAGATTGTCGCTGCAGGCATGGGGCGAATGTCGGAAGGCTCGTCGAGATGACCTGCTCTGATCTCTCGCATCAAAAGCGGGCGGAAACAGCCGCTGCTGGTCACTGCATTACCGGACCCTGACTGCTCCAGCTCAATGGAGAGACCGTCGGCACTTTGCCGTGTGAGCAAAAGGCATCTCGGGGAATTGCACGGTCTGCAATCACTTTTTCGTTATGCCCAGGCGAGGCTCAAGTCGGAATGACTCCGAATTTAAGCAGGCAGCAGCGCCTGAGTAAAATCTTACGAAACAGGGAGAGACCCGGCCTTTCCGCACGGTCACCTACCAAGCTTCTTCTCAGCTACATTTCATCGTCTTCCTCAACCACCACATCTAGAGCCCTTTCGGCAAGCGTCTCTTTCTCTCTTCCCTACACAACACATTTGCCTCCTCTTTGTCGCTCATCGCCGCTCAACCATCTCCACAAAATGCTCAGCGCGACACCAAGAGCTCGCGCCGCAGGGCGCACTGTCGCCAAGCTGCTCCGATCAGCCGAGGCAACCTCCCTTCGGCCGGCACAGTCAGCATTCTCACGCTCCATCGGCACCTCCTCCTCTGCTCTTCGCTCGTCTAACGCCGCACCTGCTCGACTCTCGCTTCCACGGCTCGGAGGTCTCTCGACTCGCCGCGGCCTGGCCACCGTCGCTCGTGACGATCAATTCGCCAACATCACTGCGGCCGACGTCGAGGCATTCGCCAAGATCCTCACCTCCCCATCGCAGATTCTCACAACAATCAAGCCTGACTCGGGCTCTTCCGCCTCGTATCAGGCCGTCGACCCCAGCGAGCTCGACACCTTCAACAATGACTGGATGAACAAGTACCACGGCAAGTCGCAGCTCGTGCTCAAGCCAAAGACCACGCAGGAGGTCTCAGAGGTGATGAAGTACTGCCACAGCAAGAATATCGCCGTCGTACCGCAGGGCGGAAACACAGGTCTCGTCGGAGGTGGTGTGCCCGTCTTTGACGAGGTCATCATCCAGCTCGGCGGACTCAACCAGATTCGATCGTTCGACGAGGTGGCCGGCACTCTTGTCTGCGATGCCGGCTGCATCCTCGAGAGCCTCGACAACCACATCGGCGAAAAGGGCTACATGATGCCGCTCGATCTCGGTGCCAAGGGCTCCTGCCACATTGGAGGAAATGTCGCGACTAACGCAGGCGGGCTTCGTTTCCTGCGCTACGGCAGCTTGCACGGAAACGTCCTTGGTCTCGAAGTCGTGCTTCCCGATGGCACCATCATGGACAACCTCTCGACGCTTCGCAAGGATAACACCGGCTTCGACCTCAAGCAACTCTTCATTGGCTCCGAAGGCACCATCGGCCTCATCACCGGTGTGTCCATCGTCACTCCTCGCCGTCCCTCGGCAATGAACGTTGCCGTCTTTGCGCTCGACTCATACGAAGCAGTGCAAACTGTCTTTGGCCAAGTCAAGAAGCACTGTGGCGAGATCCTGTCAGCTTTCGAGTTCTTTGACCAAACCTCGTTCGACGTCGTCCAGAAGCACGCCACCGCACATGTCCGCGACCCCTTCGAGGCGCGTCACCCGTTCTACGTGCTCATCGAGACGAGCGGCTCCAACAAGGACCACGATGACGAGAAGCTCCAGGTGCTGCTCGAACACCTCATGGAAGAAGGCATGATTGAGGACGGCGTACTGGCCCAGGACGAGACGCAGCTGCAGGGTCTCTGGGCTTTGAGGGAAAGCATTCCCGAGGCGGCGGGCAAGATGGGCAAAGTGTTCAAGTACGACCTCTCGATGCCGATCAACAAGATGTACGAGCTGGTGCTCGACATGCGCAAGCGCTTTGACGAGCACGGTGTCCACGGCGACGGCAAGGATGTCGGCGCCGTCTGCGGCTATGGGCACATTGGAGATGGAAATTTGCACATCAACATCGTAGCCAAGTCGTACGACGAGAAGATCGAGAAGATCATCGAGCCGTATATTTACGAGTGGACGAGCAAGGTCAAGGGCTCGGTCAGCGCAGAGCACGGATTGGGCTTGATGAAGGCCACCAAGATCGGATACTCAAAGACGCCCGAGAGCGTCGAGTACATGAAGAAGATCAAACACCTCTTCGATCCAAAGGGCATCTTGAACCCGTACAAGTACATTCAGGTGTAGAATACTATGCCATGTCATACAGCCACTGCCAGATACACCTTCGCTTTGTCGTGTTTGCTTTGTGTTGAGTGAAGAAGAGTCATCGAGGACAAGGTGATGTGGATTCGGAAGTCGGGCCGCTTTTTTTGGAAGCTTTGCTCCACACGCACGCTCCCTTTGACATTTCGACTGAGCAGCAAGAAGATTACCACACCCTCATCCTTTCACCGTCATCATCATCTGCCGTGGTGACCACAAAACTCATTTTCGCCGCGGCTTCTTCTCTTCACACCAGACACTCTCTCGCAATGTCGACGTGGGTCTCACCGTCCATGTCACGGTTCAACCGGCACCCGTCTTCTCCGGACACCGCAAGGGAGTCGGCCACCTCGACGCAATACGAGCCCGTGCAGCTCGGCTCCTCCTCCGTGCTCAAACCTCTCACACCACCGAACGTCTCCAATCTCACTCCCTCAACGTGTCTCGCGATCGGTGAATTCAAAGACCTCCTTCGCCAGTATCGTCAGCTGGATGACGGGATCACCACGCGCCTCAATCGCTCCTTCGCCCGTTCTCGCGCGCTGGGCCAGTCCTCCTCGCCCACCCTCCTCTCCAGCGCCTCCAGCACATCGGCGAGCTCCTCGGACCTAGGCACGTCCACCTATGCGACGCCGGCACCTGGAGCATGTGCCGCTTTCTGGCGCGAACTCGTCGACGTATGGATCGGTCGTGAGGAGGCGGTTCGCTTCTGCATCGCCGTTGCTGACGCCACCTCCCGACCCAACCTCCCACCAGCATCAGCGAGCAACTCAGATAGAGTCCTGGACGCCGACTATCGACCAGCAACGAGGAGTGAAGGAGGAGAGAGGTGGAGCAGAGCAGAGAACAGCGCAGAGACCCTAGCCAGGCAGCTGCATAACGAGCTGAAGATTGAAAGTATTATCAGGGCCAGGAGTTTGGATGCGTTCAAGTCGAGGTGTCGGTTTTTCACACCGAGTCCACCAGCGGGTCCAGATGGGGACAGGGAGAGAGCAATGTGGGCGGGGAGACCGACGCCAGCTGCCGAGGCGAGTGCTCAGGGCGCCGTGAGGCCATGATACGGGTGTAAGAGCATACAAGGAAATCCACACACACACTTCTCACACAAGGGTCGTTGACAGTGCGACGACGAATCGTTGCGATGGAATGAAGTGAGAAAGATCACGCGGAAACGACGCCCTGCTGCATCGTAAGCCCGTCTTTGCGACATGATGGACATCCCTTCTTGCCGACGAGCGTCGAGCGCAGTCTCGCTTCGTACTTGAGCCGTGCTTGAAACTGCTGCGTCGCATCTTGGGCGCGCTGCAGCGGCCCGTAGCTCGACAGCTCGATCAGAGACGCTTGGGCGATCTGCTTCGCCTCGCCTGTCTTTCCTGCTTCCTCCTCGAGCTCGGTCTGCTGATGCGCGACCCTGCCCCATCTTGCCTTGATGCTGGGCGTGCTAGCAAACGCCTGCGTAGACGTACATTTGACCTCCGTCGACGTCTTTCCGTCCCCTTTGACGACCGGCACGTTTGCCGGTGGCAGCAGGCACGTCAGATGGTGTACGTGTCCACACAGGTAAACCACCACCTTTGGCTGTCTTGCTGTTGTCCACGTATCCCCTCCCTTGCCGGTCTTGCTCGCAACCAACGCCGCGCCGCAGCTCGCGCACACCGACTCGTCATCCACATAGCTCGCGTACGACTGGCTTCTCTGGAGCTCGTCCGAAAGCACCTTCGTATCGTGGCTCAAAATCGCCTCGCACCCCTCCAGCAGGCTGATCTGCAATGTAAAATCCGAAAGGATCTTGATCAGCGCCGCCTTCAATCCTGGAATCTCCAGTCCGTTCTTGATCCTCCTGATCAGCCGAATCGGATCGATCTCCGCCCCAACATTCTCCAGCAGCCCACGGATAAAGGCGGGCCTCGACTCGGAGTAGCCCAGCAGATCCTCCCACAGATCGTCGTCGTTCTGCTCTTTCGCAAAATCGATCGCCCGCTCGACATCGCCCAGACGCTCGATGATGAGCGACAGCGCACGTTTGTTATCCCCCACCCGACCCAGGAGGAAGACCATCGCGGGTACATAGTCGTGCAGCTCGCAGACCGAAAAGGCGCGCTCGAAGCTGTAGAACGACGACATGGCGCGCAGGTACGACATCAACCGAGCCGGTTCGTACTCGGCGTAAAGCTTGACTTGGAGGTCGGCGAACGAGGTGACCTGCTGATGGTCCCGGTCGAAGAGCGCATCGAGGTACATGTAGAGGTAGCGCGGGTGCGATTCGAGTTGGGCGATGACGCGGCCGATTGGGATCGAGTACGTGTGGTCGACGAGGAGGTCGATCGCCGCACCGTGCTTCGACCCTGGCACTGTCCGACGCGATTTGAGGTCCTCTTCGAATTCGATGAGGAGAAGCGCTTGGTCTTGGACGGCAGTGAACAGGTTGTTTTCGCGAATGAGGTCGAAGACGTTGGCCCGACGGAGACGGAGGAAGTACTGCAGGGCTTTGCCGGGTTGACGATTGCGGATGTAGATCTCGGCAAGACACTCCATCAACAGCTTTTCTGTCCCTGCCTCCTTTCTGCCCGCTCCGGACTTCAACCGGTCCTCCACCGCCAACACTACGGCGGGCGTCGAGTAGATCTCGGACGGCCATTCTTTGATCGTCTCGAGCAGCTTCTCCAGATCGTGCTGCAGGAAGTGCGCGAGGATCATATCGTAGATCATCTCACTCAGCGTTGGGTCTGAGGTAGGAATGAACGGAATGGCGAGACCAAGCTTGCCCCTCTCGACAAAGAGGAAGATCCAGTCTTCCCACGCGGACACGTTGCGACCGAGAATCTTGCTCGCCACTCTGGCCGCCTCCGAGTATCGATCTTCTTCGACGAGCCAGTTGAGGTACTTTCGGCCGATCTCTTCGGCATCGAATCCGTTTTGGAGGGCGGTTGTGCGGCCCATGCCTTCAATCTTGACGAGCGCCTCTTGGAATCGTTGTCGCTCCAGCAGCCATTCGACGTGATCCTTCTCGTCGCGTGGCTTGGACACGACAATGTCTCTGGGGCTGACGACGTAGAATTGCGAAGCCTCGGTGGACTCTTGTCGCACCTTGCGCCCGGCGAGCAGAGCAGCTGAGTAGGCGTGCGCTTCGATCGACGGCACGAGGAGATAGTCGTTGCACTGGAAGCGCGAGTAATCGTTGAGACTGAGCACGTCTGAGCTCAGCTCTTCTCCTGCACGGCTAATGATTCTCAGCTCTGGCCGTAATGCCTCGCGGCGCTTGAAGGCGCGATGGACTGAGCCGCTCTCGTCGTGCTCGTCGTCGTCATCATCCGATTCCTCTGGATCCTCGGTGACGTAGGCAAGTACGAGGTAGTCCAGGCCATACGGAGCGATGCCCGCGATCATACAGTCGAGTTGAAAGATCGCGCTGATCTCGATGTAGTACTGCGGATGGCCCGCGCCCGCGCCTGGTACACCGACCTTGCTGAGCGCTGACGATGCATTCTGCGTCGAGTTTGATCCGATGCTCGCCCCCGACGAAGCCGTCGCGCCTCCCGCCGCCTTTTGCTTGATCTTGGCCACCTTGATGTGATCTGCCCAGGCAATGAGCAGGGTTCGGTCGTCCTGCCAGTACAGCGTGCACCGGTGCAAGTCTCCGCGGACGTCCTTGCTGGGCGCGCTGATGAAGCTGATCCTCTGCTTGGCATCTGTATCGTAGACGCGGATACCTTTGTCACTCGCCCATGCGATCATATTGCCTCTCCACCGTGTCGTCCAGATCGGACCCTCGCCTGAATGCAGCACCGACTCTTTGTGACCGAACCAATTCTTCTCCCTATGCGTCAACGATCCTGCCATACCGCCACAGACGAATGCACGAGAAGACTTGCGACCGAAGTTGGGCTCGAGCGAGATGCACCGCATCGGTCGCTTGAAGTCAAAGACGTACTGCTCGGCTGTGGCAAGGGCCGAGATGGAGACGAGACCGTCCATGGAGGCGGCGGCGACAAAGTCGGACGTGTTATCGATGACGAGGTCGAGGATGGAAGCGGTGTGGAGCCGAAAGCCTTTGACGAGGTTGCCATCGATGTCGAGGATGTAGATCATACCGGCATGGGTGCCGAGCGCCATAAAGCGAGGTGAGAGGGCAAAGGCGGAGGCAGTGTCGCGTTTGAGCACGTCGCTGACCCCGCCCCTGACGCGCGAGTATTTGAGGGACGGCTCCACATCTTCATCCTCTTCGTCTGATGACCCCTTGTCCTCTTCGTCGCTGACCTGATCTGTATGCGCATCTGCTGCACCCTCGTCTTGGGTCACGCTGGCCGCCTGATCCTTGACAGATCCTATTGTGATGTCGGATGTCTCTGGATCTTTCGTTGGCGATGGTCGCTTGTCTTCCGTCCTTGCTTCGGCATGCTCATGTGCGTGCTGATCGATGTCATCTACAGCTGCGCTTGGTTCACCCTCGGGCATCTCACCTTCGAGCAGAATCGTCATCCTATTCTTCGACTCCGCGTCTAAGCGGGAGTCTCGACTGGATCCGCCTCTCGGTAGGGAAGGTCGCTTGCGTCTTGGCACAGGGGAAGTTGGCAGCGACTCCAACGAGCTGGTGCTCGCTTGGCCGACCGAAGAGCTGCTCTCTGTTCTCTGTAGGGAGTCGGGCCTGTGCCTGCGAGTACGTTTTCTCGGCGTTGCTGGTGCGGATGATGCGGCCGCTGCTAGAATCTCGGCCGCCAAAGAGGGCTCCTCACCTTTGTCCTTCGATCCTGTGTCTGAAGGTTCCGCTTGCTTGTCTGTCTCGGGCTCTTCTGATGGGGCATAGTCCATCTCGAGATTGCCTGCTTCTTCGTCGTCGTCGTCTGCCATCGTAACCGGCTGAGTCTGATCGTCCGACACGGCCGAATTAGACGCTTGCGCATCGTTTTCGCGGGCATCTTCCTTGGTCTCGTCGTCGTCGTCGTGCTGCGCCGAGATGTTGGATCGCTGTGAAGTTGCTGTTCGCAGACCAGGCCTGTCCCGCCGTCCGAACCCACGTGTTGCAAATGTTGGAAAGTGAAGGTCAGCAGCTTGCCTCTGACGGATCTCTTCCGCCAGCTTGACGGTCTCCTCAGGTGACGACATCGTTGCAGCGGCGATTGGCACCCTGGACCAGCCTGGTTGTCGGCGCTAGAGAGAGCGATTCTGTTATGACCTCGTCATGCCGGTCGGGGAGAACGTCGAAAGGTGGCAATGATCTGCTCCAGTGCGCCTCCAGTGGTGTGGCTGAAGGCTGAATAGGATGCCAGTATTGAGATGTGGTTGGCTAAGAAGCGTCTGTGCCAGCATCACGAACCCTGAAAGCGTGATTCAAGAGGTGGTGGAGGTGTGAGGGGCATCCGTGCATACGAGTAATGTGTAAAGACAATATTGTGCTTTTATATATACAATAAACGGCCGCTCTTCCATGAACGGGCAAGATGGCCGAGTGGTCTAAGGCGTAGCATTAAGGAAGATATTCTGACTGTTCAGGAAAACCTGCTATCTTCGGGCGTGGGTTCGAATCCCACTCTTGTCACCATTCTTTTTTTGCAGTTCTTTACAGCATCTTCGACATGGCGGAAGGCTCTTTGCCGGCCAGCGAAAGAAGGGCTCTGGCCGAGACACCTTTTGCTATGTTGAACTCAGACGAAAAAGGTTGCGGAACGGCGGTGAAGTGCGGAAGAGTGCATGAAGCTGAAGTTCGGTGGTTGCCTCGTTCTGAGCCACAACAATGTACACAAGCCTGCTCGAGAGCCAGACGGGCCGTAGTCACACAGATCAGCGTTTCGATCTGTGGAGTCCTGTGTATGTTTCACGAAATAGATTGCAGATTGTTCGACGCAGACTGCAAAGCGGCTCTACAAGACAGTGAAGTTCTTGGGTGTGTAGCGCTTGGTGTTGTAAACCGACTTGCCGGCCTCCCATCCGGGAACATCCTTCATGATCTCCTTCTCTCGTGCAACCTGGGCCTCGTTTCGTCGATACTCGTCTCGATCCGATTCGGCCATGAGCACGGGGATGAGGTGGATTCGCGACCATGCACGCTCCCTCTTGAGCTCTCTGTGGAATGACAACGATCGCATAGAGGATAGTGGTGGAAGTCAGCACTCTGACCTGACTCTCGACTGCAATTGTGCAGCCTGCTCCGGTTGAGAATGCATGCTTACCTTTGTTCGAGGTTACCGAGGCCGACCTTGTAGAAGCCGTATGCGCAGATCGCAATGACACTGCCAAAGATGGTGAGACCCGAAAGGTTCTTGCCTGGCAAGTTGCGCTTGTATCGGATGGGCTGGTAGCCTCCAGAAGGAGGAAGATCCCTGTGGAAGAGAGGAAGAGTAGACGACGATACGCGTATACGGTGGTCAGAACCAGTCTGTTGCAGCTACCTAGCGATCCTGGAAGAGCCAAAGGGGCCTCCCTCCGGGACGTCGAGCTGATACTCACTGTCGGAAGGGGACTGATGCGAGCAATTGAATAGGACGAGCGGAGTCGGATTGAACGAAAGCGGTCGGACAATTTGTTTTCGAGTGAGTATTGCGTCGATGGGATACAGTTGGCGTCGACGGTGTAGCAAGGGTTGAGGAAGCGACGAGATACGAGGGCATTATGATCAAGATAGAGAAGTCAGTCAGTCTGTTTCACCTAGCAATTGCTGCTGCTGACTGCTGGCGATCAGCCTGCGATTGCGGTGCAACAGCCGGTGTAATGTACGTACCTGCACCACTCATGTTGTCTGTGGTGTATGTGGTGACGTTGATCGAGGTGATGGAAGCAAGAGCAGTCAAGACCATCATCAATTCGAGATCGTGGACCGCGCTGCCATGCCAGATTCTCGACCAATTCCGTCTCAGTCGGAACCGACGCGCACAGATCGGGAGATCCAACACCTCCACCGGACAATTTT